CAGTATTAAGAATTGATGATGGGTTGAATTTCTGTATGATTGTGAAAGCTTACTTTTTCTCATAACACAAACTTTGATATATCTAACAGACCTGTTATTTTAATGTTATTTTTTGTTTCTAAAACAACGCTTTGGATGTTGCAAAACTTGTTTCATAGCATCACTTGTACATACTATATTCGTAGATAACTGATTTATTTTTGCAATTATATAAACGTCTCAAGTTACTATGTTTCCAGTTTGTTTCTGTGAAATTTTCCTGTGATTTCATAGTGTATGAAAGTGTCAAGTTTATAAACAAAAGACCTATGCCTATTTTTGAGTAAATAAAAGAATGAATCTGGGTCATTTAATTAAGTAGTAGCCAATAATTCGATGTGCAGGTAAGTTACAAAATTTCAAATATAACACCATCGAGTTCAATTCTAAACTTTTCTAACACTTACTACGGTACATTATTAGTGAAAGTCGAAGGAGTCACTTACTCGTAACGAAAATATAAAGCATACTTTCTCGAGCAACCCAAGAAGCAAACTCAATATGCATTCGTTATTTCACTTGATTTCCAACCGATAAAATAATTTTACTAGAGGGTACGTTCCCTTATGGTATTTGTAAATTTCATACAAACTAAAACCATTGATTCTTTTGAATGCCGTAGTGCGACTTTCTTGTTATTATTACTTCAAGAATATTTGTAAAGTACACTTTTTTTTTGCTTTATCTTGAGTATAATTTTAACCTTCGGGAAAACGTTTGGCGTGGGTGTTAATTTTTAACCGTACAAACCCATCCTAACCACAAATAAAATTGTTTAGATGACGTTTGCTTCGTCGTAACACCATGCACCCTAATATGGAATATGCGTAGGTTCATATACAGCTGTTACTCGTGAAAACACACCCACAATTTAGTTGGTATATCTTCAGGTGTAATGTAAAGTAGAGAACTGTTCTTCGCCATCTAGTGGCAGCTTGCTAACTTTGGTAGACGGAAGTACTTGCTCATATGCTATGGAAAAACCAGCTAACAACGCGTATCAAACTTCCTGTACGGACATCTTCGACTTCAACAAGATGTCGAAAGTTAGGAAAGTGTTAGAAGATGCAAAGGAACATAATATCACCGAAATCGATTTGGTTGACAAAAGCATTGCTTCGTTTGAGGACATGCCAGGATTGTGTAAGTATTCTAACTTAGAACTATGATGCGAGCCACAAGCAGGAGAAAACGGGTCAATTACCAAATTTGGAGTGTAAACATGGGAACGTTGGCGGTGTCACATATAATTAATATTAAGCCTAACCCGCAAGAACTTTTTCATCGAGGGCGAAGGACAGACACGTTAATGAGTAAGTTAGTTACTAGTAATGCAAACTACGACAAGACAGACGAGAAGATTGAAAATTCCATTAGCTTTAATTAGGTTGAATGTTCACAGATATAAATATTTATAATGAAAATATTATCGAACTTCTATTTCAAAGTGTCTTGAGAAGTCTTACATTCTCGCTTTCAGTGTAAAAAAAAGTTGAAAGTTAAAAAAAATCAAAAGGGGATTCAAATTAATGACAAAAATAAATGCCATTTTTAAAAGTAAGCGAGTAATGGTGAGTAAGTTTGATAAGCTACACCTGGTTTGGTTTAACAGTAATGTACAGAGGCATAAATGAATATTGTCCAAATTCTAGGTGAAACAATCTTGCATAAGTAAAACTACATGTTTTGTAGCAATATATCTGACTGACTGTCACTAAAAACCTAAAATATAAATTATAATATAGTACTGCCCTTAAATGATGCATTACAATGTAGTTTTGGGTGGGGTACATTCACAAAAAGTTGCAAGTAGTTTTTTACTAAAATCTGGTACAACTTGTATGTTACTTTTTACAGTTGACAAAACTACCCACATAGAATTATGACTGATGAAAGTTAGATATTTCCTGGTATGATAATAACTACATGTAAGTTGTAATTTAACATTTAATAAAGAAAAAAGTTATGAAGACATCAAATGTGAAGGTTAACTTACATATGATCTTAATTATCATTGAAATTAAAAGGAAATTTATACTGTTACCTCACCCAACATTAAAATCAAGAGGTTAAGCAAACAAAGTGTTTCCATTGATTTCGAAAATATTATAACATTATAATTTCTACAACTATAAAAAAACTGTATTTTTTGGAGGTTGTAGAATAATATGGTTTTGATTAAAAAGAGGGGGAAGGTATTTAAAAAAGGTATAAAAACACTTTTGCCTCCTAGATCTAGTAAATGATTAATTACAAAACTCTTTTAACAAAGAATTTGATCTCCTGTTTCCTTATGTCAAACAATTCTTATTAAGCATAGGGTGACTTGCAATAATTTTAGTGTAGTAAAGTGAATGTTATGGTTTTCTAAGAAGTCATACTGATCTCTTTCCTTTCATTTTAGTCTTTTACTAAATAATTAGTCATAAGCAGGTCTTTTTTAACTATAAAGAGCTTAATATTCATTTTTTTAAAATATAAAACATTGTTTTCATATTATTATACGGTTATTACTTATTTGTCAAGGGAACTGTGTAGGCCTAGTTATTTTTGTTTTGCATTCTTGTAAAACTACACTTATGTTTCTAGTGGTTAACATGCCAGATTGTGAATGTGAGTATCCATGGTAACTGGTGACCAAATCCCACTATTTGATTACCGTAGCCAACGAATAGGCAGTGGATGCTTTCATTAACTGCTGGAACTGTTGTCTATCAGTACAAAATTAGGAATTAATAATGCAGATAACCACTGTGTAGCTTTAGCAAATGTCCAAAACAAACAATACACTCGTATCACACTTTCAATATATCACATCAGACTTACCAGTTATTAGTTATTGAAAATAATGTTCTTTCTTGTTAGGTTATATCAATTGTAAATGCTTGTTTAGTACTTTAAGTTAAAGCATTTGTGGTATAAAGAAGCCTTGGACATGACAAAACAACACTAGACTGTTTATGAACTTCTTGTGTTTCTGTAGAAAAATATTATTGGCAGTTATACTTACTAGATAGATCAATAACAGTATCAGTAGAATTATTATGTGATTTTCTGAGTATTCGTTTCTTCGTATTCAGTCTGTAACATGTTACCTTTTTCCCCTTTATTTAATCACTTTTATTTCCCATAGTTTCCAGTATCCTGTAAAACTGTTTGTTTGAATAAATATATTAACTATTCTGTTGCGAAAAGATTTGACCAGATATTCTGTATTTAGCCAAAAACACTATTAAATTTGTAATTTAAAGCCCTCAAATATCTGCATATTCATATTTAAACTAGATTTAAGCATTTGAATAGAAATCTAACTAAAATGAACAGAATGATTCAGCAAAGTGTCAGTTGAATATCTATGGAGTTATGAGTCTATTTTACTTCACTCATAGTAACCTAAATTAATTTTCGTATGTATGACATTTCATCATATATATATATATATACACATACACAAAGTGTTGGTTGGTTCTGTCAGTTTTGACTGATACATTACTGTTACCAATACCATCATTGCCATAACTTGCTTGGCTTGCCTTACTGACATGTAAAGTCAGACTTGAAGTGATAAAAATAATAATAAAGACACTACAAGCATATTTGAAGTTGCATTAAGTTGAAAGTTTATGCAGTTATAATTTAAATACTGATTGCATTTGTTATTACTCTTTAAAACGTGTAATTTTGATAACTATTAACATAATTTAAAGTGACAGAGTATATTCTACGTCATTCTTTTAACCCTATCGAGATGTGTCACGTATCAAAGGTCATGTCATCGAGTTGACTTACATGCAAAATTTTATTGAACTACTATTTTATGAATCTTTGTCAATAAGTTTGTATCAAATTGTAGATTATAATTCAAATTTTAGTATTATACATTAGTTAATTTCTTAATTTAAAAGTAAATATTAAAAACACAGCTAAACATGAATTTTGTGTGTCAAGTGGTATGTTGAATGCAGCACTGGTTCAAATTAGATGTTCGTGATACCAAATACAAAATCTTGAGTTCTGTATGAATTAGGAACTCAAACTACTGATATTGACAAGCTAGAATATAAAATAAGAACCTCTTATCTTTTTTATTTGCTAAGATATTGCTCCTGTACTGAATCAAACAGTGCCCCCGCCCACCTCTTTCCTTGTTTGGAAATAGTCCCTTATATACACTTACTTCTGTATATGACATGAAAAACCAATCAAAAGCTCAAAATATCCCCTTATTAGTTTTCTCAGCCATTTTTACATGTTATTGTGCTAATTTCATTCTTTTCACACAAGATTTCAAACAATGAGGCAAGTCTTTAGTGAGCTCAAAATTTCATGTTTTTTTCGACCCAAATATAGCTTAGTTACTAAGCTTGATAAATTATAGTGGAATTCTATGGTATCAATATATTAATTTATGATTTTTTGGTTATTTAAATGTATATATATAAAACCTAAAAAAATATATTTTCACATCCTCCACGTGGGAAATTTCACAAGGCTTAGCAACCTACAACAAGTGGGAAAATAGAATTACATCCATAAACAAGAACAAATTAAAGACAAATAATAATAATAAAATGTACACATACACACACACACACACACAAAGAAAAATCATAGAAATTACTAGCAGATAGCAATTAAAGCAAAGTAGGAAACAGTGAAATAACGTATTGGAAGGAATGACTTCAGGAGATTAATTTATTATGAATTGGTTCTCATTTTATGAAACAATATTATATGTAGTGTAGAAAATAACTGAAACTGTTATAAACATCTGTGTACACGTACCATACCCCTGAACAGTTCATACAACATACACAGAATTAATAAGTAGTAGTAGTATTGCTTAATATAGTAGATGAATGAGATTACAATAGGCACAAACGGGAAAATCCTACTTCAAAAACTGCTGTTTCGCCTCCATGGAATATTAAAGACACAAATATAATAAAAAGCTGCCCTTTGAAGTGTAACATGGTTTTAAAATTATTCAACAAAAAGTATCTTCAATATGATTGTACTACTTTATTTAGTTGTAAAAGCTAGCACACAAAAAATAAATGAGGATTTAAATTTTAAGAAGATTACAATAACATTATTGAAGTAAGTTCTGGAATTGTAGTATAGTATTACTACAGTAAATATTTTATGTATTAGCTCAAAGAGTATTAGACATGGTGAGTCATCTCAGGTGATACTGATGATTACAAGTAAAAAAATAAAATACTTAATGTATGCATTAAAATAATGACTTCAAGTTGTAATTAAAAAATGATTTATTATGAAAAAAGCTCGAAACAAGAGGAAATACTTTAAAATTTACAGAACTCGGTAATCAAAATCTCATTAAGATTGAAAATGGTAAGAACAAGATTAATACCTTTGTTTTTTTCTTCTTTTTTTGAAACAGTCATTTTATTGTTCAGGGTCTTCTATTTAAATGTTCTTAAACTTAACATGCACGTGTTTCTGTAACAGTGTAGCTTATCACATAAGATTGGTTGAATATTAAATTAGTTTGTTTATCATTTATCAACTTACTTTTTTTTTACTTTGTTCTTCTGTTTTCCTTCAAATTATTATGTTTATAGGCAATACTTTGAAAAGTGTTTTAAAAAGTTGATTTTTTTCTTTGGATATGATGTTACCAATAATTTTCAAGTATTTTACAGCAAAAACTTATTATTTTATTTACTAAATTAATCTTGCAGATTTTGCTAAATGGTTTTAATTTATGATTATAGGAAATAACCATGGTGAGTTCTGTATTTTTAGCTCTATTTTAGCTATTGTTTCGTAAAGTAACCGTAAAGCCTTACTGGGTACATATTGTATGGTGAAAGCATTAGGAATTAGTAATTCTTGAAAAAGCTTTTCTAATGAGATTAGGACTTTTGTGTATTAAGTTACAAGGACTGTTAATTCTGCATTAGTTCAAAGGTTATCAGACTGTAGTTCGCTACCCCAAAGTGGGTCGCTAGAATCTCTGAACTTGTCTGCATAATTTTAAGATGGACATCACTTTTGATTTTCAAAATGTTAATTTTGTCAATACTGTCTTCTAATACTTATTTATCAATACCATCAATTCTGCAATAACACGGTGCAGTGGGGCATGTAGTAGTATTTGTTGTTAGGCACAGTGCTATTAAGTTTGAGAACTGCTGTGTACATTAGTTTCATGTAGTTGTAAGATACAGCTGTATTAAAAAGTAAACTTCACGAATGAATTTTCAACTATGAATATTAATTTTTTCAATGCTTCTGGTTCTATCTGATATTTTCCTATACTCTACAATAATTCCAATTTTTGTTTGTAGTTTTAACTGCTTTTCAGTAACATTTCTGTAATTTTTTATATATATTCAGTTCTTGTACATAATTTTTGTCTGAACTTGTATCTTTAAATCCGCTTTAGACCATGTAAACTGCTAATACATTTAAATGAACTTTGGATAGCCTATTTTAACACACACGTGTACACTTGTAATAACATAATTACATAAAAACTTATTAACTTACTGTAGTATGTTTTATAGTTGACTGGTGGTAAAAAATGTATCTGAACTGCTATTTATAAGTAGTTGATGAGTTGTTTTATTGAACAAAAGTTTTCCCGAGCAGTTTTTTATATACGTGAAGTACAACTGCAATCAAAAAATATTACTCTTACTAGAATTCCTTGTAGGTCAAATGGTTAATTTTGTTTTCTTAATTGCAAGTTCTTCAAAGAATAAATTTAGAGATTCTTTTATTCACAATTTTGTTTATCTTTCCCATACCAAATAGATTAAACAGAACATTAATTTAAGTGATTTTTAAATTCTCTATTAACAGAGTTAAAACATTCACCTTTCCCATCTCACTGTAGTGAAACTCTATCTGGGAAGATTCTGAGTTTGTGGTGATACCCATGAAACTCTATCTGGAAGATTCTGAGTTTGTGGTGATACCCATGAAAACTCTATCTGGGAAGATTCTGAGTTTGTGGTGATACCCATGAAACTCTATCTGGAAGATTCTGAGTTTGTGGTGATACCCATGAAACTCTATCTGGGAAGATTCTGAGTTTGTGGTGATACCCATGAAACTCTATCTGGAAGATTCTGAGTTTATGGCGATACCCAAATTTTTCACTGATCAAACAGCTTCGATATTTCTCCTTAAAAATAAATATATATTTTTTGAGATTCTATACCATAAATGAAGAATTGCTCTAGCTAATTTTGAGGTTGTTTCTATCTTAAGATCGTAATTACCGAACCTAATTTGTTTATTGGTAAAATTCTTCATCCTTTTAACAACTCATTTGTCTTACGTGTTTGCACTGATTGAATAAAATAAGGTTTGTTTGAAATGTTTCTTCTGTACAGACTTGTAGAACATTTAAATGAATGAGTTTTGGTCAATGTTGAGTGGGTATATGTTATGAGGTATGTTTTGTGTTAAAATTTTGGAACTTTATTTCTAATCCTATAGGGTCAATGTACAATGTGACTAGGTTAACACTGAGCCACAACAAGATTAAAAGTAAGTACAGTTTTTGTTTTGATCAGATCTAATGGGGAAGTATTTTATTTTAGTACATAATGTGCAATAGATGTTTTACACATTTTATTTTGTTTGTACAGGGCCAACCCCTCTGAATCTATTCATTATATATTAACAAAGTACAACTTTTGTAAATTGTGTAGAGTAGGGATTTATATAATCTTTATGAGAATGTTATGATGTAGTATTTTATGACCTGGTGGGTCAGTGGTAAATCTGAGGGCTTGTAGCAGTAAAACTAATTTTTTGATACTTGCGGCGGGCACAGCACATATACCCAATTGTGTGGCTTTGAGTTTGATAACAAACAAACACTATTTTATGAATTGCATGTTGTGTAAAACAAAATTAGTAACCAAAGTATTTTTAACTCCTTCTGTTCTGTAGTAAGTGGAGCCAATGAAGGATCATTATTTTTTACTCTTGCTCAGGGATTTAACAAGGATTTGAGAAATGGGGACTTCCAAATTAAGTAAAAATAAAAAGTCTTGTATCTTTTTGATTTTGGAAAACATTAAGATGTATATAAAAAACTTTTAGGTTTTTTTGTTAAATAATGTTTACTTAAATTTAAAATAATTACATTTAAAACTGATTTTTGTGACTTGCCATAAAACGTGCATTAAGAAACATTTGAAATACTTTCGACATGAAAAATTATCTACAATTTTGAATTTTAAGGATTTTTTTTTCAAAATTACAAAGGAGAATAGTTTCAATCATATAAAAATTTGATATTAAATATATCTTTAAGAAAATAAGTATGTACTAACTAAATTCAAATACAGTCTTAAGTTTCAAATTTAATGAATAAATGTATTTTAATTAGGAAAAAAATTAGTTGAAAATGATAATGAAATTATAATAAATGCTAAGTTCATTTTTAACTGGAAGATTTGGATGACAGAAAATTATAAAAAAAGTAATACCTAAATATAGGGTCAATATGTAGTTAATATGCATATGTTTGCAAATCATGCAAATGAAGGATTTGTTAAAAACACTTGTCAAGTTGGTGAGGAACATTTCGTGATGCAAGTTTTTGCAGTTGAAGTGTTTAAAAGTATTTAGATGTGAACATCACTGCAAGTAAGTAGTTTTAAGCAGGTATCTCAGTTTAAATTGGGTAAGTTAGAAAGTGCTTGAGATAAAACTTAACTTGTCTGCATATTTGTACGCTTTATATTCAAACCTTGTTAACTAGTTAAAATATTCAGTTCCAGACAATGTAAAGACTGCACTGAGTTCGGTTTGTTTAGTGGGTGTATAAAGCTACATATTCCTTTGAGGAAACATTTGAATTTCAGCTAATTTGTTTGTCCGTATGATGAACTAACATTTTCAAATGTTTTTATTATGAATGTTATAAAATGTAATCTATTGCAGATCGTTTGTAGTTATAGAACAAAAAGATAAACTAAGAAAGTTGTTTCAGAACTGACCAACTTTAATTTGGAGATATTTATTAAATAAACCTTGATAGATCTTTTACTTAATCTAGTTGTGTTGTTGATAATGTCATATTTAACTCATGTACGGGGAATGTATTGCAATTTCTGTTTAACTAACATTGCTTCTGATCTATTTCAGGTGTTCCTCCGAGCATAGCTAACCTCGTCAACCTGGAAGTCCTCACGTTGTTCAACAATCATATAGAGGTGAGGGATAAATAATGTAATTTAACAGTCATGCACGCTAATTTATAAAATATTCTTATGTTTTTTTATTTTTAAAAGGCAACATTAATGGCTGAGGAGAGGAATTTTGAGCATATTAAATTGTTTGAATTTTCAAATATAAAGACTGATATAAGTTTAAAGTATTACATTTCGTTTGTAATGAGGCATCGAAGTTTTGTTACATTCATTCAGTTATGATTCCAGCATAAAAAAATACATACCTGCCTGTCCACTTTCTTCTTCAGATTTTTTCTTGTCATTGACACAAATTGATTTTACTTGGCTTAAAGCATTACAAACAGTAGTGTAGTTAACAAAGTAACTGGAATTCATATGCTAAGCATCTCCTTGGGGGCTCAGTATAGTTCAGATATATGTAACATCCTGTTTTGAAAAAACTGTAATTTTACATCTTTTTTCTACTATTTCAGAAGATTAAAACTTAAGTTATGAATTAAAAATAAATGTCCCAAACTTTTTGTTGTTTTAATACCAATTTATAATTATACATTGTATTGAAAGAAAATGGTAAAGAAAAATGGGTCCCGTATTTGGCTACCTCATAACTCAAATTCTGTGTAATATGTGTTTTTTGTTATTTTAATATTTGTTTAGAATATTTTTCTCAACTTAACTTTTCATATTTTATGTATATATTATAAAATGATAATTGTAATTGTGTTTTTCAGGAATTGCCCACTTCAATTTCATCTCTCCCAAAATTAAAAATTCTTAATTTGGGGTAAGTTTATTGTTTTAATGGTTTTTATTTTAACAGTTTTCTGTTAACCTTTTTAAATTGATATGTCAAGTTACAAAAAAAAAAATCCAGTTCAGGAAATAAATCTGATTTGATTTGCTCTTTCAAAGCAAGTATAGGATATTTTGTACGAATAGAACCGTATTTGGGCAAATGTAAAATCTGTTAAATGGGTTTTATTCCAGAAATTCTCACTTCTGAAATACATTATTGAAATAAATATTTTTCAGATTAGGTTTCTTAAATGACTTGTGTGTATGACTTACTTATGAACTTTGTAATTTTCATTAATATATGCACACATTGTCATTTGATACATATTACCTAATCCCAACTGCTGAAACAGACTCAAACAGGTATAAATATATATATATATATAATGTTTACTTTATTTTTGAGGTTATCATGCCATTGGCTAGTATGCTAGACTATGGATCTACTGGTCCTTCATTTGCTTCCCATTACCAAGAGAAAAATATTTTCTCTACACTTTATGTTTGTGGGTGAATTATAAAGGTGACAGTTAAATCCAGCTATTTGATGAAATAAGAACTGCTGTTAACTTATTGCCTTCCCCCGAGTCTATTAGTTAAAGATTAGGGATGAATAGTAGAGGTGAGTGATAAACTTGATTAATCAATATAACAGAATTCTTATGAGCATCAGTTACATAGATTAGACAATAGAGTTAAAGTTCAAATACTTAAATTGTGTGAAAAAAGTTCAGTAACACTTTGTTGATTGTTTAGAACTATTTTACGAATTAAAAATTTTTTCAAGTTTAAAGATTGAATCCATTTCTCTCAGTCACGCATCATTCAAAAAATCTTCACCCCAAAGTAGAAAGGTGGCTACATTAATTTGACTGTCAGAATATTGGATGATCATTTACAATAACACTAATCCTACGTTTCAAGGGCATCTCAAGCATTGTTTGACATGCATTAGGTGTATGTGGTGTGTTCCCTACAAAGTAACTGGTAAAGCTGAAAACAAAACTATCGTAGAGGTGAAGAGGACACTTTTGATTCTTCAAAATTAGCCAAAGTCAGAGAAATATGATGTCCCAAAGCTATGAGTAATGATTTCTCTACTATATACAGGCTCACACTCCTGAATCTTGAAGAAGAAATTAAACACCATAACCAACAGAGTCTATCCACATGTTCACCTTCAATGTGTGTTTAGTTTGGATAGAATTAGCTCTTGAATGGTTTTATTGATGGTAGAATCTATAAAAGTTGCTTGAGAAGGAGTTAAGTTTTAAAATAGATTTGAGTCTGAGTAATTTTCAGTGTAAAAGTTCAGAGAAACTGGTGATTCTGTGTGTAAGAGATACAAGACAGTTGACAAAGTTTTCTTCGGAGTGAAGTGGAACAACTAACATCAATGTCCTTGTTTGTTGGATACACTTGTGTCAAAAAAGGGTAGAGCAAAGCATTATTTGTGTCCAAAGTGCATTGTTTGTGTTCACAAGTGAACTGTCAAGGTTTTATGTACGTGTTGGTTGTGGATTCTTCTACAGTAGGTGTCTGTGACTTGTTGGTGATCAATTCAAAACAATAAATGGACAGCACACAATCCACTTGTTTCAAAATAATATATTGAAAACAAGTCAAAGGTATGTACAAAAATTCTCTACACTATAGGAAATCACAGTTTTATATAAAACTCTAAGTAATTCTCTCTTCTTGTCAAAAGTCCACTCAGGCTGATTCAATTACTTTAGAATCCAACTGACGAGATGAACTATTTTTCTCTACTTTGTGGGTTACCACAGTTGTGTCTTGAACTTTAAATAATGTCTCCTTTTCATCAAAGTCCACACAGACAGGTTCAATAAGACAAATTATTTTCCTTATCTCTCTTAAACTGTGAAAATCACTTTAAGATATCACCCGTTATGGCTAATCACTCGCACACCAGATAACTTCACGTTTTCTAACTTTTTTTCTGACTGAACTTTACTTTCACTTCACTTTCTCTCTACTTTTTTGCACTTGCCTGGTCACCTGTGTATATATATATATATATATATATATATATATATAC